TCTTCGTCAGTATCAGCTTCAGCAGATTCTATGGGAGGAACTATTTCTACAGACCTGATTCTTCTAAAAAAACTTGATCCGTAATTTTCTTCACAAGCTTTCATAATTTCATCTACGCTAAACGTATTATCTTCAGACCTAAAGAAAAAAATAAATCATTCTAGTGCTCAGTGGCAACTAAAGTTGCCACGTGAATTTAGGGTACCATAATTATGTTATAATTCAATGAACAGTTAATTTTCTTAGATCAGTATATATAATAAACCTTTGGTTTAAAATGAATTGAGTATGAACACAAAATATTATAAATTAACTAAAAAATACTTACATTGTTTAGGACTAAGTTTGCTTGCTGCAAAACTCTAATATTGAAATAAATACTAACGAGCACCTAAGAAGTTTACAAGCAAATTTGTAGGTTATACATACATGTGGACATGCTAAAAATTTTATACCACTTAAAAATAGACCACACACAATACACAAGAGATTTTACGAATGTTGAAAGTCACTTCACTGAGTACTAATGGGTTAAGACCAAAAACATAGACAGTAGAGACACAGTATATAGAGGTTCCTATATATATAGGTTCCTATATGGAACCTCTATATACTGTGGTAGAGATCTACAAATTATATCGAATTATGTCTGTATCAAAATCAGAAAGCACGAATAAGAGTCGAAGGAGAACTGATAGAGGAAGTAAGTATACTTAGAGGAGTTCAACAAGGGTGCATACTTTCACCACTCTTATTCAACGTCTACACTAAAGTGATATTTCGAGAAGCTTTATTGGATATTGTGGAAGGTATTTTGGTCAACGGAAATAGCATTAATAATATTAGATATGCGGACGATACGCAAGTTACATGGAAGATCTACAGTACATAATACAACATATATACAATGCATGTGAAAGGTACAGACTGCAAATGAATCTCAAGAAAACGAAATCAATGATATTCTCAAACAAACTACAAAATGTAGATAACCTGATCATCAATAATACAACGAACGAAAGAGTAACAACATATAAAGATTTAGGAACGTGGCTAACCGAAGATGGAGATCAAACAAAAGAAATCAGATCTAGAATAGAAATGGCAAGAAACGCGTTCATAAAATTGAAGAACTTACTTTGCAACCGTAACCTTAATCTACAGATCCGCACAAAAATGCTACGTTGTTACGTTTTTCCACTTTACTATACGGCGTGGAAGCGTGGACAATAAAACAGTATGTAATCAAAAAATGAAACTCCTTTGAGATGTGGTGTCACAGGAGAATCCACAGAATATAGTGGATTGAAAAAGTAACTAATATAGAGGTGTTACAAAGAATGAAGAAAACATGTGAAGTCATAAAAACTGGTAAAATTAGAAAGATTCAATATCTGGGTCATATAATGAGGGGCCAGAAGTACGTATTACGTTAAAGAACAAGTAGAAAAGTTTTTAACAATTTGTAAAGAAATCGACTTTTGAAGCTACTTTTGCAATAATTAAACAACAAATTAACAAAAATAACTTTAACTCTCGTTTTAAAGGATTTTCTATGTATTTTCAGTAAAATTGTGTCACTTTTCTATTTATCCAGAATTTATCATTCTTTACTTTTAGTATGTAAAATCAAATCGCAATCTTACATTGTTTATAAGCAAACAATGACATTTATTTTGTATATTACATATTATAATCACCAAATTTATCAAAAGTAGTTTTAGATACCTGTATCAAAGAGTATCACGAAAGTCTTTTTATTTGCGAATTTACTGGTTTATTTATAATAATAACAGTAACCATGGTAACGAAAACACAAAATTTACAATGCTATATATAGTTAATATACTTAAAAATTAATACAAATTAGGATAATACCAAAAGGTACGTGATGAAGAAATATTCGAATTTCAAGATTGACTATTAAGTTCAAAATGTTGTCAAATTATTAGCGATAAAGTTAACAAACAACTATACTCAAAATTGGTTTGTCAATTAGTGTTTTATTATTAAAAATGTAATTAAAATGTGTTTAATCAATCGAAACAATTAGTGTATAATACTATCTACATACACATCTTTAAGACACCTATTACATGAGCAATTAAAAATGTCTTACTTCGGGCAGTTCATCGGGAACCTTCCCCATCCATGTTAAAGACAAAATAGGGCAATCACTTTTCGCGTTAACAGTCCTTTCGAAATGCAAATGCATTATCACACTGGTTGACACCCTACATCATCGGAAACGGCGAAAGTGCGACGATGACTGCTAATCGTAATTACGCCAGAGCCGCTGGCTGCTCTCCGCTGTCTAACTGCAAGAAACTGAAAGCCATATTGATTTTTCTTTTCGGAAAATCGGAATCGTCACGTTGGAGTCGGCGGGATTAGGGCGGTATGAACGCGCAAGTCGACGCTGCTATGTCGGACGCAAGTGATTTTTCTGCAATTCAATTAATTTCGTTATTACGGGGTGCGACGGTGAAAATTACAAGATGTGCTAACGTCCGAACGGATCCCGACCGGAATTTTAAGTTTTCTCGAGCAAAACTTCATTTCCTTCGTCATTACTTTCTATACACCTTGGAATGTCAAATGAGTTTTTATTATTTTTTTTTTTAATTTATTTACTTTACACACGAATTATTACAGGAGATAATAAATGAAATTCAATAAAAATCAACAAACTTTGATACAAATATACCGGGTGTTTATTTGTCCAACGGACCATGGGAAACAATCATCATCAGTAGCATTACAGCTCGTTATGAGCCGAAGCCTTCTTCAGAACAATCTTTCATTCGCCTCTGTCTCTGGCAACTCTTCTCCATGCTTTAACTCCGATGGATTTTAGATCCATCCTCTATGTTATCTTATACCTAAGTTTTGGTCTCCCCCTGACTCGTCTTTCCACTAGTCTTCTTCAACTCAAAGTTGTAGCGCCTACGCCACAAACTCTGTTCTTGGACTCCTCCATATATTTTCCTTAGAATTTTTCTCTCGAAACGTTTTAGCAATTCTTGGTCGTTCTGTGTAAGTGACCATATTTCTGACCCGTATGTTAACACTAGACTTATTAGTGTTTTATATATGGTAACTTCCAATTAGAATAAATGATGTTTAAGTGCCTATTGCAACATCAGCAAAGTACTTGGGGATCACTCTTGATGCGAAGCTTCGCTGGAAAGCTCACGTGAAAAAGAAAAGAGAAGAATTAGGCATCCGCTACAAGAAAATGTATTGGTTGATGGGAAGGTAGTTCTCTCTGTCCATAAACAATAAACTCCTAATCTATAAACAAATACTGAGGCCAGTATGGACCTTGGGCTCTGGTGCCAAGCCTAGTAACATCAAAGCAATCCAGGTATTCCAGAATAAAGTGCTGAGGAACATCGTAGATGCGCCTTGGTACGTTAGGAACAACGATCTTCACCGGGACCTCAAGATGGAAGACGTCAATCAGATAATCAAGAAATTTGCATGGAGCCATGAACAACGACTCCATCATCATGTAAACGTCGAGGTATCCAGCTCCTCGACAATACGAACCTATAGAGAAGGCTCAAAATGACAAAGCCTTTTGAACTGGTATAGTGAATGAGTGAAAAGCAGAGCAAAGTGTTGTGCGAGTATGCATGCTAAATTTAATGCTAGTTATTAGAAATAATAGGAAAGATACTAGTGAGGAGACACCTAATTTTAAGTTTTCATTAGTAATTTAAGTTAGAAACAAATTGATAATTGGTCTTACTGACCAGATTTTAATGTAAGTACACTTCGGTGTCTTTAGTAAAAAAAAATTTCCAAGTTATTCTCTTCTACTAATTTTAACAGTTCTGCTGGTATTTCATCTAATCCAGCTGCCTTATTGTCTTTAGAGTTTTTGATAGCATATTTGATTTCCCCTATCGTGATCTTCTGTTCCTCTAAAGGATTTAATTCTTGTATTTTCTGCATTTCACCTGTTTCATCATGGAAAAGTTCTCTAACGTACTCCTCCCATCGTCTTAATTTTTCTGGTAAATTTATTAGTAGTACTCCTTTTTTGTCTTGTATATGTTCTTGCTGTCTATTTCGATCCATTCCAGTCACTTCTCTTATTTTTTGTGCATATTTCTCATATCATATTTTGTTTCTAGTTCTTCTATCTCTTTATATTGTTTCATCAAATAGATTTCTAGCTGTTTAGCTGTTTTGATTTTTTCCTTAATTATTCGTTGTATTTCTTTATACTTATGTAGATCTTTTCTTTATATTTCCTTCTTTCTTCCATCAGTAAAAGTATTTCTTCTGTCATCAACTGTTTTTTAGTCTCTTGTCATTTCGGGGGAATATGAAATCCCCGTCATCTGGAGACTCTGCGGCTGGGAAAAATATTTATTGAATAAAAATACAAGAAAAATACATAAAAATGCATAAGAATATAAAAGTAAAATGTTCATAAAATGTTTCCCTATGGGAAGCAGTTTTTAAAATAAAATTCTTAAATATTAATAAAATTTTGCAAAACCATAATTTAAGAGACATATTGACTGATAATAATAATTATTAACAACTGAATAAATTATTGATTTAATTTAAAAAATTAAGAACAGTTTAGGCCAGTACGAACCATCTCAATATAATGAATTGTTATAAACATATACAAGCCCGACCTGTAAAACAGTTATTCTAGACGCAAGGTCATTTTATACCTGAACAATGTAATTTTTCTTAGAATGATGCAATGTAGGTGAATTTGAAATAATGTAATCTACTGACAAAACCTTTCATATTTGCAATAAAAATCCATTAATTCTCTGAACTTTTACTTTATAACCTTTTATTTTGTAGTAAACTGACCTTGAATTGTAAATAGACGTCTTTTATCTTTGTTAAAGTAATAAATTAAAGAGAGACGTTAGAATAGAGGCGTATGCTCGGAACGCCTCCTAAACGGTGCTTTCTAGCATTTTCTACTGCCATCCCTTGTCAAAAATATGACAGGACAGACCGACAGACAGAACAGTAATCAATCAATCTTCTTTAGATACAGTTTTGTTTCAGTTTGATTATATAGTTTCTTACAAATTTTCCAATATGCTTGTTTTAAAAAGTTGTTTTTCTACAATTGTTGACAATAAATGCAAGGTAAGACGTTTAAATACATCTACAGCGTGTTATTATTGTCTAAAATTACAAGATCTTTGATATCTAACCACTCAAAGATACCAAGTATTTGTTGTAATTTTCCATTTACAAACAATGCTCACCTAAATAGATTTGAAAAGGATTGTATGCGGTTCTAAAATAACTATAATAAAGGTTCTGTTTTAGTAAACGTCACGTTTTACAACCTTATATTTTGTAAATAGCTAATTGGAAAAAAATTAACTTTCAAACAAAAAAAAATTCCTCATTAACGAAAGTCTCTAATGATTTACTAACAACTTGAATACAACATGTAATGGCAGAATTCCCATGTCTATTTATAAATGCAAACAAAAAGTACTAACAGGAAGGAACAATGGAATCAATTATAATGAATATGAAAATTCATAAATATAATTAAAAAAATATTCTACTCCTATATATTATTACATTGTATTTGTGTATTTACATGGCATTGTAAAGATGATCTGTGGATTTTTTTTTAACATAATTCACATCAACCACGCAGGGTTATTAGTGGAGTAACATACACAAGAATTCATTTTATTTACATTAAATAGATGTATATAAACGTAAATCTTTTAAATAATTTATTACATGATCAGTGTTTATGAAAGTGGTTTTGATGTCATCTAAGATTCCATATTTTCTTCTTGTTTCTTCATGGTATTGGCAGTCAATCAGAATATGCTTCACTGTCAATGGAGAGAACAGTTTCTGCAGATTGGAGAAGATTCTTTGTTGATTAAGAATTTATGGGTCAGTGCAGTGTGTCCAATTCTTAGTGGTTAATTATTACTGTGGTCCCTTCTATTGGATGGATTATACAAGATGGTCTTCACAAGGGGATAAATCTCATATAGTTTGGTTCCTGAATCATTCCAGTAGTCTTGCCATATGTTCATACAGTGGTCTTTAATTAGGTTTTTGAGATCGGAGTATGGGTAATTTCTTGATTTGATTGTGTATTGTGAGATTATTCGACTTGTGTTTGCTAGGCTGTCCACTTTCTCATTTCCAGCAATTCCTACGTGCGACGGTACCCTGATAAATGCTACCTCTTTACAATTTGATTGAATTATATTTGTCTCATTTTTTATAGCCCAAATATTGGATTTTTAGGGTATATTTCTTTTACACCTAATAGAGCATTTAATGAGTCTGTGATGATGACACATTTATTCTCACTATGCGTTTTGAAGAAAATTAAGGCTTCCAAAATGGCTGTGGTCTCGCCTGTGAGGATGCAGCAGTTTGTAGGTATGGATGTAGTGTGAGAAGTGTATTTACACTAGTATGCAGCAGCATGTCCGTCATGATCATGTGTAGTGAATTGGATGGTGTTTTACACTGCAATACAAGGAAATCCAGGTTTGAATCCATTGGGACAAAAATTGAGAATCTAATTTAATGATAAAATGGCTTATTGCTGTAGATTTCGAAAACAACAATGCCAGTGAAAGTATATCTCAAACATTCGTTTAGTTTGACAATAGTTTGCTACAATATTTCATGTTTTTTATGCGAGTCACTATAATTCGTTTGTAATGAATGTTTCTTTTTAGACTGATTGACAATTTGCGACATTAGTTTATCTTCTTTTATGAGTGACTGTAATGTATTTGGACAAAACGTTTTTCTATAGCATTTTGCCAATTTTTAGATGAAATTTTGTGGTCTGTTTTTTGAAGCTTTCTCTTCTTGTGTCTCATCCAGAGATCATGGAAAGATCTCCTGAATAGAGGTTGAATAATAATGGCGAGAGTATACAACCTGGTCCAACTTCTCTTTGGATTTTTATTTTCTCAGTTTAAATTTCAACTGAAATATTGAGAATGATTTATGTGGATTGGTAATTATTATTACTTTTCAGATGGTTAATTTTACAATATACAAGTTATAGTATAATTCAAGTAAACTTACTAAACCAAGAGCTATTTTGGTTTTATGAATACTACATTAACAATGGTTTTACAAAGTTTAAATAAGATATCTCCCAATTCCTTCTGTATCTTGTGCCAATCTAATCCACTGTTTGCTGCCACTGCTCTTATGCCATCTACCCATCTTTTTTGAGGTCTTTGATCACCACTCTAGAATTCTCGTGATTCAAGCGTGATTTGTTCCTTTGCTCTTTGCGTTGTTTCTAATTTTTTAACAGATTTTTTGGTAAAGGCTACTGTCTCCAAGCCTTATATACAAACTGGTAGTATGCATATTCATATACACCTTTTTCTTTAAGTTTACAGGAATGAAGATGTTTATAATTGAAAGACATGCTAGTTTCCCGAAAGTGCCCCATGCCAGTTGTGTTTTTCTTTTAATTTCGGCATCTTGATTTGGTTTTTCTAGTTTGATGGAAATTCTAAAAAATAAAAACCTAGATGAAAGAGATTTAAGGCTAATAACACACCTCTGTTAGAAATAAAGAGAGGAGTCAGGCAAGGCTGCATTCTATCACCTCTATTATTTAACGCCTATTCTGAAGAGGTAATTCGAGAAAACTCTGGAAGATGATACAGTAATAATAGCCGATAGTTTACAAGACCTGGAAAGACTCATGAACAAAATAGTCATGTGTAGTAGGGAGTACGGACTCTCTCTCTTAATGTCAAAAGACGAAGTTTATGAAAATTTGTAAAAACAACTATAATACTAACGAAATCTTGATAGTAGAGGGCCAGCAGATCGAAAGAGTAAAAAAGTACACTTACCTAGGAACACTTATAACAGAAAATAATGACTACACGGCAGAAATCAAAGTCAGAATCGAAAAAAGCACGTTCTAATTTTATAAAAATGAAAAAGGTCCTATGTGGCAAAGATCTAACATTAGCTCTTAAAGTACGCCTAACAAAATGTTACGTATACAGTGTACTATATTATGGAGTGGAATCATGGACGTTAAATCTAGATACCATGAGACGACTCTTAACGCCTTTGAGATGTGGACCTATAGAAGAATTATGAGGGTTTCCTGGGTAGATAGAGTTACAAACAATGAAATACTGAGAAGAATAGGCAAAGAGAAGGAAATTGAACTTACAATTAAAGAAAGAAAGCTACAGTATCTCGGACATGTGATGCGGGGCGATAAGTATGGCATCCTGCGACTCATAATGCAAGGAAAAATAGATGGCAGAAGAAGCATCGGAAGAAGACGAATTTCATGGCTGAAGAACCTGAGAGAATGGTTTGGATGCAGCTCAAAACAACTATTTAGAGCTACTGCCTCAAAAATTAAGATAGCTATGATGATGTGCGAACCTCCGTAGCGGAGATGGCACCTGAAGAAGAAGAAGAAGATGTTTGATGACATGACCTAGATATACATAATGTTCAACATTTTCTATGGTATGATTTTGTATTGTTATATATGTCTGCTTTCGGCTCAGTATTTTTGTTTTACTGTAGTTCATTTTTAAGCCTACCGCTCCTGAAACTGCATTTAATTGTTGTAACATATCATTTAGTTCTTGGATATTATCGGCTATTAAAACTATGTTATACCCTTGTTGTTCCATTCTAGTTTCTTAAAAATGTCTTCTAGAGCAAGGTTGAATAGTTGTAAAATAGGGGTAAATACTACAATAGCATTGTAGTCTTATGGGATTAGTTTTTGTGCTTTCGTCCAGCTTTATCTGCATGGTGGCATTTTCATATATGTTTTTTATTATGCTAATCTTTTATAATTAACTTATAATCTATATTATATAACTTATAAATTAATTTATAATCTAACTTGAATCTATTGTGGATTTTCTAGAGATTCAAGCAATTTATACAGATGTGATAGCAAGGATATTGGGTTGATAATTCTCAATGTTTGCTTTGTCTCCTTTCTTGAATAGTAAAATGACTTCAAAGTTGTACATTCTTGAGGAATCTTTCCTTCATCAATTACTTTATTAAATAAAATATTTAATACCTGTTCCATTTTTCTGCCACAATTTTCAACATTTCAACTGTAATTTTATCCTCTCCCGGACTTGATTTCATAGTCGGTTATGTCCGGTATTTCTTCTGAGCCGGTGTTATTTATTGTTTGTTCAGTACGTCGTTGTTGTGGTTGCGTATTTACCGAATATAATTTAGTGTAGAATTTTTCAATGGCCTCGCTTATTTCCTTTCTGTCTCGGACGGTGACGTTTTTCTCATTTTTGATGATTCTCATGATCAAAATCTTTCTATTTATCAACCCAAAAAAAGATGCTTGCGATATTTGCGAGTCTTTTAAAACGGAAAATTTGAGTCAAGACGAGTATGAAACGCATGTTCTTAAAAAATATAAGATGTAATATTCTTTTTTCCATTTTAACAAATAAATGTTGGAAAATCACGTATCTCTGATATAGTGTGTGTACAAAACTCTTAACTCCGTAAAAAATCACAACTTAGTACCATAGGGAGTCTTAGTATCTCCCTTGTTTATTTTACTTTATTTACAGTGTGAGCATTATTTGTATATAATTTTGACAAGATTTGAAATAATAAAAAATTTAGCACAGATAGGTGAGATTTGTTCTATAAAGGATTTATGACTTCATATGACCTCAGAACAGCTAAATTTGGAATTTCTTTTCTATTTTTATAAATTCATATCAGATACTTGTGTGTTGTAGTAACATGTTTATTTTTAAATTATGAAAATGTTGATATACCAGCTGTATGTTACCAATCAGTAAAATAACTTGATGGTCAAGGTTGCTGTTCACATCCATATTGGTTTAATTATGTTGTGATATGGGTTTGGTAGACTTAATTGGGATTTTCTATCTATAATTGGGATTTTCTTCCTATAAAGTTAATAGATTTACTGTATTTTGTTGTTGAGTTAATTATTTCTACTGATAATATCTTATCTTTTATAATTGTTGTTCAAATTTGGTCCAAATTCCAGCTTTTCTGGGTTTTAAATTCATTTGTATCCTTTATAGAGTTGTACAATTTACTGATTTTGTTGTGAATTTTTCCCTGGTTTTCTTATAACTGGTTGTTTATAATAACAAAGTTGTGGTATGATATTCCAATAGTTGTTGATATGATCATTTTGTTGAGTAGTGTATAAGCTTCTAATATAGAAATATTGCATAATTTATCAAGTAAAAACATAAACTTATTTATTGTGAACATTTAAGGAGAAAGATAAGTTGTTAGTGGTCGTTTTAACCTGTAAAAGTTATGACCTTGTAAAAACGTGTGATTATTAGTTAATCTTATTTAAATTTGTATGCACTTTTACTGGATTGTGTTAAAATCGTCAACAGTTTACAGAAATCTGTGTTATCTATACAGCTTTGTCAAATGGTGCCAATAATGGAGACAATAGTGAGCCAACAGATGAAGTAACTAATAACAACAGTGAGCTGAAGTGAAATTATTGTTGGATTTTTAGTTTGTGAATTAGTTTGTATTGTGATGTAGGTATTACGTAGAGTATGTTAAATTACTTTGTTATCATATTTTATTAAGCAAGTATTTTATAGACAACGTCTAATAGTGCTATTACCTCTATAGTTTTCGCACTCCGTTTTGTCTCCTTTTTTATAGATAAGACATAAAGAGCACTATTCCATTGTTTCGGCATTTCTTCCTTTTGCCGAATTATTAGTGTCAAGTGAAATATCTTTTCCTTCAATCTTTCGCCACCTTCCTTAAAAATGTCAACTGAGATTGCACTTTTGTTATTTTTTAGGTCTCTTATTTATTTCATTGACTTCATTCAGACTTGGTTCCTCGCACGTCCTTTCTTCATCTTCTTGCAATTCTCATTTCCCTTAACAACTCTTGTTGGTCTGTTTGTTTCTGCAATACTGTGGATTACTCTTTGTAGTTTCTCTGGATTTCTTAACTTCTTGGTAGAAATTTTTTACCTCTTGGTTTATGTAGCTAGGCTGCTTCTATGTTTTTCAATTGCTTTTCTAGCTGTTCTTTTTTCTGCAAATTTTTTTCACTTCCCTTCTTCTTGCCATATTTTTTTTGTTTTTGACCACATTTTGGCTATTTTCTTTACCTCTTTGTAGTTTTGCCCTGTTTCTTCTTGCCAAAACATTCCTACATTCTTCTTCATCGAACCAGTCTTGCCGTCTTTTTATTTTTTTATTTTTCCATCGGGAGAAGTTCATATTACTTTATGAATGTCTTTGTGATCAAACCTTGTGCCTAGCTATCTTTATTTTGTTCTCTATAGCAAATTCTATGAACTTTTCCCCGTTTTCATTTGATTCCTTATGTAAACTTAGTCCCCCTGTTACCCTTCTATATATTTCTGTACATCTGTATGTGTTGAAATTACTTATTCTGTTAGGGATGTGCATATATACATTAGGGATGTAATGTTTACTACATATTAAGAATACAGTGCCCTTAATATAACTTCGTTTCTACTGATAAACTCCTTTTTTTCAACTGTGTGGAGTGGATTCATAAATTAATTGCTGGATTTAATCACTTAGTCGTGGAAACACCCATATATTGAATTTATTTCGTCCATTATTTATATAGTCCATTGAAATGTTACATTTTTTATGCCTTAGCGTACATTTCTTAGAGGACGAACTTAAGTTCAAGTTTCTGAGCCAACCTTTTCCCCTGGTCGCCATCTTGGAAAAGGAGAGAAAAGGGTTTTCGCGCTGAATCTCGTAAACTAAGAACCCTACAAAAAAATGTTATCTGACATTATTTGTAGCAAATTAAATTGTCTACAACTTATTTCCATTACTTTTAATCGTAAAATGAAAAATAACAAAGTTATAAACAAAAATAACTAAGATTTTGGAACAACACGAAAACCCTCCTTTCTCCCTTTTATCAAAGATGAGTCCTCTAAAAAATGCACCCTAAGGCATAAAAAATGTAACATTTTAATGGACTATATAGTTTTTCAAGTGCTTTCCAAATAAATTTGCTGTTTGTTGGTCACTCTACAAAAAGTACTGATCATTTTTTTTATCATTGTATAGTGCTTATGACATTATACGGGAAGAAATTGAATATGCAATGAAACAACCTAAAGGTGAAAAATCTCCCGGGCCTTATGACGTTCCTATCGAATTACTCAAAATTGTGAATACTGCATCTAATGATTTTCTTTTGTATCTATTCAATACCATGAATAGAATAGGTATAATACCTAAAGAATGGCTCCAATCAACATCGCACCATAGCCTTAATGACTCTTCTTGAGATTGTTTTCATAAGTAATACACAAATGGGATTTAGGAAAGGACTGGAAACACGAGATGCACTGTTTGCAGTAAGTGTTCTTTCGGAGAGATGCTTAGATTTAAATCAGGAAGTATATGTCTGTTTCATTGATTTTGAAAAGGCATTTAACAGAGTTCAGAATAACCGGCTTAAAGAAATTGTATTAAATAAAAACATAGACAGTAGAGACATTAGAATCATATGTAACCTCTATTGGAACCAAACAGCAAGTGAAAGTTGAAAATGAATTGACCGAGGATATCCAGATTCGCCGTGGCGTCCGCCAAGGATGTATTTTATCACCCTTGTTATTCAATATATACAGTGAAGCTATCTCAGAATTAGCGCTTGCCGAGATCAGTGAGGGCCTTATAATAAACGGTGAGCCACTTAATAACATAAGATATGCTGACGACACCGTCCTTTTTGCAGGAACACTAGAAGAACTGCGACAGCTTGCTGAACAACTAAATATACATTGCGTCGATTATGTACTAAAAATAAATTTGAAGAAAATAGTATTTACAAAAGCAAAAAACAGAAAAGTTAAGCTAGTACTAGATAATACAGAAATTGAACAAATATCTTCGTATAAATACCTTGGAGCATGGATCACAGAAGATACTGATCAGACAAAAGAAATAAAATGCCGTATTGAAATTGTACGGTCAATTTTAATAGAATGAGAAAACTTTTTTGTAATCGCGATATCAATATATTGCTCCGGATAAGAATGCTTCGATGTTATATTTTCTCTACCCTCTTGTATGGGGTTGAAGCTTGGACACTTAAAAAATCTAACATTAAAACCCTAGAAGCATTCGAAATGTGGTGTTACTGACGTATTTTGAAAATATCATGGATGGATCGCAAAACAAACGAACAAGTTCTCGAACAACTAGGAAAACAATGCGAAGTTTTAAATTTCATAAAAATCAGGAAATTGGAATACTTGGGGCACATCACAAGAGGTGAAAAATACGAACTACTAAGGAATATAATGCAGGGTAAAATCAAAGGCAGAAGAAGCGTAGGTAGTTATAATTGCCAGAATGATTTCCAATCTCCGATAGGAGCGGAACTTGAAGAAGAAGAAGTGCTTATGAGGAATTTCTGATTGATTGTATTGAATATTTGATTGCTTTTTTGTTATTTGACGTAGTACTGTCAATTTTATTTTGTTATTTAACCAAAAACCTACAAATAACGATAAAGTTTTAAGAGCAATTTAAAATATCATTTCTGTATCGATATAAAACTCTTTTTTTATATAAAAAAATATGGCTTGCCCAATGCCAATATCTCCTCGAATAATTATTGCAAAATTTGAGTGTTGTAACATGTTTGTGATGTTGTGGTATTGTTTAAAATAAACTTGTAATCGTTGTTATATATGTTTTGTCCTGTGTAGTCATTCGATCAACTGTTGTTGTCTTTACAGATTTGGATATTAAGTGAAGCTTACTCCTAGACGTTTTACGTTGGATTCTAGATCAATTTCCAATCGAACGAGTGCTTTACTTGATTGATTGCTTAGTTTAAGAACTTTTATCCTGTTTACTTATTTTGGAACGTTAACTAAATCGAGAGTATGGCTACCAAAGAGGACCGTTCTCTAGGATCAGGCATTTCCATCCCACAATGGATGAAGACTAAAAGTAGCAAGTAAGTGATTTATTTTGTTGCACGAATTTACTAGGAATGTTATTGTGTATAGATACTTAGACTAGTTGAAAAATATAGTTTTTCAGTCGCTGGAGTTCTTTACATCATTCCAAATCTTGTTTATGTGTGGATGCAATAGTGGTCAGGTGTTCGCACCTATTATATTATAGTTCAGAGAGGTCGTTCTGAGCCTTGTTATTCTTTTACGCTTGTATTGCTTGTTTTGCGTGATCCATCGTCGGGAATTCTATATTTTCGGTGTTTCCCTTAACCCTTTCGCTCATGCATTTTTGCTTTTTAAGATAAAAATTTGAAATTTGGTAGGCATATTCTTTTAATTTTTTTTAATTTTTGGCCTACTCAAAATAATTCACTGTTACCCCTTATAAGAGATGTTAATTGTACAGTATATTGTACATTTTGAACAAACGGTGTATACGACCTGTACAATATATTGCACATTGTGAGTACATTGTAGTAGCTCTTGTGACTTTGGAAAACAAAATACAATTAAAAATCATATATCTGCAACTAATTATTTATTTGTATGAAATAACATAAAACAATTTTGTTTTTTTTTAAATACATAAATGTATATTGCACTTTTTACAAACGAAATTGGTTCTAGAACCACATTTAGGGAATTAGCACCTAGAAGAAAAGGATTTGTCATCTATAATTGGCAAATGACCAAATCCAGCCAGCCTTACTTCTGCTGCTGGTCTAGTTTCTGTTTTTTGTTTTTTCTGTGACGGAGATGACGTCGATTCTCTTGTATCGAAAGGACGTCCCCATTTTCTGGAGGATACTTTGTCTGATTTTTTATTAAAACTTCAGCGATGTATGCCCTAAAATAAACCAAATCCAATATTTTCTTGTCTGGAATACCTAAAGCAATCGCCTTTTGCCTGTATTCCAGCCAGGCATTAGAACAGGCGATATCGATACTATGTGTAAACATATGAAGTGTCCACTTCCTGGAACGAATAAAGGTTCTGTATAAAGTAATCAAAAAGTCGCATTTATCAACGCCGCCCATATGTTGGTTATATTTTCTAATTACTTCAGGTCATTTCACATAAATATGTCGTTTCTTATTTTTGTCCCACCGTTTACATTAATCTTCTTTTCCTATACCCATAAAATTAGATGCCATGAGAACACTTTTATTGTCAAATCACTGAGTGAGAACAACTTCCATATCACCACTTACATATTGTACGGAAAATCCATGACCTTTCTTTGAAATCTCTTTTTAAAGCAGCAAAGGTGGTTTGCTAAACCTATCTCCTCTTGCTGTATAAGTAGCATAAATATTTTTGTGCAGCAACAATTACAATAAATTATAATTGGAAAAGTAGTTATCGAAAAAAAGTTGAACATTTGGTACTGCAATTATTTCAGATAATTTCAAAACTACTGACACTGCTAATCCAAAAACTTTTAATTGATTTTTGTCCAATTCCGTAGTAGCCCCTTGATAAATGAGAAAATCATAAATTAAACCATTGGAGCCACACAAGGCAAAAATTTTAATACCCCAAGGTTTTGGCTTTTTTGCTTAACGTTTGCATATACTGCTTAACGTTTAAATGTCCTTTGAAGGGTACCATTTGCTTGTCTACGTATAGTTCAGTTTCGATCGGCAAAGTCAAGCATTTGGATCTAATTGTGTCTTACAAAGGTCGTACCTTCCAAAAGCGATCCTGATCGGTTTCACCAACATTTATTCATTTATTCTACATTTGTTGGAGCAAACTCTTTCATATTCTGAACTGCAAACAAGTTTGTATTTTCTACCATTATTTCAAATAAAGCATCTCTAAAATATTGTTTAAAATAAAAATATAGACTTTCAAGCTCTACGATATCATCTTGCTGTTGAGTATGCCAATTGATGTACTTTGATGTTTCATAGCGGTCAATTTTTAGTGTTAGTTTAGTTTCTTCAAGTTACTGTTACAAAATCATTTTACTAATTCAAGTTATGAAGAAATATTTCTTACAATGAGGTGTTCTACCGCTATCGAAATTACATGAAAATTTTTAAACCAAGTGTAAACATATCAAACGTATGATTAAAAAAAATACCATATATAACAAAATATATCATTAATATTAGTCTTATAACTTTGAAAATGCTCTCCTGAAGAAATAAACAAAAGTGACATTTCTCCTTTTACCCCTGTATCCTTCAAATTAAAAAATTGTGTCACTTTTTCATATAATTTACCTTTAGCATTTCACCTTTACTATTTAAAATCAAAAAGCGATCTTACATTGTTTATCGTTAAACGATAAATTGACGTTTAATCAAATTTGTCAAAGGTAGTTGGTGTATCAAACGAGTGCCATGGCAAAATTGTTCTTGATCTATTGTTGGTGTTTAAAATTCTTTTAGCCCTTCATATGATTTGTCTGGAATTTAAAAGACCTTCAAAATAGCTTTCTACGATGATAATTGGATTGCTTTTCCAGAATTCTAAATTTTATTTCTACCTTTTACCTGTTTCGCTTTTGTTGTGTTAGTTCAAGATGATTCTGGTAAAGTTAAGTTTCATCGGGAGTTGTGAATTGTTGCACAAAAACAGTTTGATATTTTTGAAAACGGACGGAATGGCTCAATGGTAAGGAAAACAGCCATCTTACCAATAGGTTATATTAAAGAGCACAAAGTTGATCGTTTATTTTAAAGCCTCCTAAAATGTAGAACATTATCATAAATGTATTATAATCACAGCCGAAATTTAATCTCAAATATCGATCAACTTAACCCGAGGAAAAATTAACGATAAACGGTCTAGACTGAAATACTTAATAATACTCGAACAATACCCAGATAAGCTTAAATTGGCACATAAATAGATGTAACAGTTTCATTTAACCCAATATGTCTCTTTTATCGATAATTATGTCTGTATAAACTTTGAAATGTTCAATTGTTAAGAAGTTGTTATCAGTAGCTATGTCTCAATTTAGTTGGGGTTTTTCCGATAAAAGGTAAACAATTAAAGTCTACTAATTTTCTATTACAAACATTATAGACCAGGGAAATGAGCATTTATCAAGACAGTCGTGTAACTATATCAACTTCTTTCCTAATCTTCAGCTAATAATTTCTTCTTCGGTAAGGATCATTTTCATTTATTTGGAACATGAGAGCCTCCCCCTCATCTTCATGATTGTCATTAAGATTCAAAGTGATCGCCCATCTGTTAAATATTTGTTTCTTTTTACTAATTACAGAACCATCCCCATCTTCAAAAGCTATTATTCTGGGTTTGAATTCATTTCTACGGCTGTTTTTGTGTAGAATCTTCGTAGAACGTTTTCGCATTTTTGCTCTTTCCGTTTCATTCTAAACCTTATTTTTTCTTCTCGTCGATGGTTTTCATAATCTTCCAGAGTTAATCTTGTTCTGCGTTGCTGTAGTCTCATACGCTTCATTTCTTTTGTTGCTTAATAGATCTACATTCTTCGTGTTCACTTGTCTTAGATTTTAAAACGCCTTTTAGCAGTTATATGCATAACTTCTTTACATTCAGTACAGTGTTCTTCTATGCTTAGATTTTCTTAGATTTTAGGTAATGATTTATTTAAAATTTGCAAATAACTATCTTCATTGGTCTATCCGTAAAAAATTATCGATTATACTTGAAAATTCTTGAAAACCTACAACTGATTGTGCTTTGTTTTGTTTAACGATGACAAAAGGTAAAAAAATCGTTTTTGTCTTATTTTCTTTGGTTTGAAGAGCATGGAGCTCAATGAATCCCCACATCTTATTCCACTGCCTATTTCTATAGGTTCTGTAAGTTGTCCATCTATTCTGACTTTTTTTTTGATGTTTTGGTAGATGTTTTCGATAGTTTTTATAGTATTTAGGCGAGCTTCTCTATTATTATACAGAAGATGGATTACATCTTTGAGTCTCACTCTGTCAAACGCTTTCTTTAGATCAATTAGACACAGCAATGCTGGTCTATTATACTCTTTATAAAGCGAATTACTGAGAAATCACTTGAGTATGGTTTTAATTTATAGAAGAAAATTTTAAAAATCGACCAATTTTTCTTAAATTATTAATAAATAAAAATATACGAAAACATCCTAAAACAATTCTTAGTTAAAATACCAGTGACTGTCATAAAAACATTATATTTTTCGTCATTTTCTTGGGTTAATATTGTCAAAATATGAAGATAAATTTTTTGCCCACCCAACCAATTAATTCTTATAAATGTCATATTTGAAATTTTTATTTACTATTCCGAATAACTTCCTGGATTATTATGCTATTGTTTAAATATTTACATCATATTTAATAGAAATTAAAACAGTTATCGTTTTATAAAGAATAACACTTCGTTCAAATTAAATAATACGGAAAATGCATTAAGCAGCCTGGCCTTAAAGGTCATATGTTGTTTGGTCTACAAGGATAATACTGTTAATGGGAACTATTTGCTTTGAGTGACAAAAATAAAATAATTGATTTGGATAAAAAAATGATTTTTTAATTATTTGCAAATTATTGATGCCTTCTTCTTCTTATAGTGCCATGCGCCTATAGTGTTTTGGCTAATTGTCTTAAGGCCAGTGTTTAGCTTTCTTGGGGGATTCTTAACATTCTCGAACCATCTAAGGTCTGTCCGGAACTGAGGACCTTTGCTTCATTTTTGTCCGACATATAAGATCATTATTCCAAGGATATCCATAGGAATATTTAATTTAGTGGTTTTCCCTTACCTTCTAAATCCCTATGCCGTTGTCCAAATTTTGGTCCATTCGCCTTTTGGACCGATTTCTTAACTCAAAGACAAAAGAGTGCTCCACCATTTACCAACCCTTCCGCTCGAAGCCGTTGGTCAGTAAGTGGGGGATTGCTTATACCGGCAATCACTCGGACGGCAGAAGTGTTTGTTATGTAGCAGGATGCACCGGATGATCACAATCAAGATCATTGCACGGGCAGGTGAGGAAAGGCTATACGTTGTGCA